AGTGTAGCCTCTCCATCTAGCTTGGGCCTCAGAGCACCTCGGTCCACAAAGTGCCACTGGGCTGGCCACCCATGGGGACACTTGGCACCTGACTACCCAACCAAAGGAACAGCTCAAGGACAGAGGCTCTGGTCCTCAGAGCGGTTCCGTCTGCTGAAATCCTATGCAGCACATATAGGATGCCAGCTCAGGGACAAAGGCAGCACTCTGGAATGACCCTTCAAGGCTGGTGTCACTGCAGCCGCACACACTCCACTGACACCTCCACCCTGGACCCAGAGCTCAGCAGAAGTACCTCCTGGAGACAGCGGATAAAAAGGAAGCTGCAAACCCAGCACTCGGGAGGCTGAGGCGGGAGGGTGGTATGGGAAGTTGGCCTGGGCAGCCTGGCAACATCCTGCTTGTGATTAAAAAAAAGGGGTTGGGGGGCTGGGGGTTTAGCTCAGCGGCATAAGCGCCTGCCTTGAAAGCAGGCAGTCGTGAGTTCGATCCCTGGTACCGATAAAAAGGAAAAAGACAAAAAAAAAAAAAAAAAGGGGTTGGGGACACAGTGGAATGTAAAGACTCTGGGTTCCAGCTCCAGTATTTAAAAAAACAAACAGTTAATGAGGAAAGCAAGAAACAGGGCTTAGCCGGGCATGGCAGTGCTCGCCTGTCATCCCAGCACTCGGGAGGCGGAGGTAGCAGAATCACTGTGAGTTCAAGGCCAGCCTGGGCTACATAGTGAGTTCAAGGTCAGCCTGCACTGTAGAGGGAGACACTGCTCTAAAAAACAGAAAAAGGAAAAGCAAAAAAGAAACAGAGCTTATCTAGCACAGGAAAGAGAAAGGAGACCGAATCACATGAGCACGTCATCATGCAGGAGGACAGCCACGGAGAAGGGAACTGCCTCTGCCTCTGCCCAGAGGCAGGAGCGGAGAGGCGTCTGCTCAGCAGGCTCGCAGCACTGCTGTCCTGCTTACGCCGCAGAGGCAGGAGAGTGCCTTGCTCATACATGGCTTCTTTTACACAGCTCTGGTACCCCTGTGAACATCCCTGGACTCCAGGGCTGTGGGAAGGCACAGAGGTGTCCCTGGGACCCAGGAGGCTATCAGTAGCAGCAGCGGCTCTGTACAGGCCATGTCCCATGGACCCAGATCCCTGCCCTCACTGCCCCCACGAGGTGTCCCCAGACAGCCCATCTTGATGCAAGCTTCAACAACTAACATGACGCCCACCTGCACACCTGTGGATCAGAGGTACCAGGTATGGTTCCAAGTGTCCCTCTGCTGCCAACTGGAAACGAGATTCCATGAGTCCAAGCCATGAGACTCCCCGGCCAAGGAGATCCAGGGAAAAATTTGCCACTGTAGGTAGCAAAGATAGAAATGGCGGGAGCAGCCCCCAAGCCCACGGCAGGGAGGCCCTGGCAGGCACAATGCTCAACCGCATGTCTAGCTGCACTCAGACTTGTTTGTCAAGCGGCTGGTCCTCCTTGCAGGCCTGCCAGTGGTGGCAGTGTCACAATCCTGGTGTGACGTCCGAACTGCTCACAGGGTGATGAACTCTGGCCTGCCGTGAGTCAACAGAGGGCCAGCTCTCCCGCGCCTCTGTTTACACACACGTACAGTGGCCCGGCAGGTCCAGGGGCACAGTCAAGGGTCAATGGTGCCCAGGCTCACGCTGGCCCTGCCCACCTCCTGGAGAGCCCCAGCTCTAACCTGGCCTACCCTGCATCTCCAGCCCTCTGGAAGGCCCCCACGCCCTCTAAGATGGGCAAGCCGAAGCCAGGCACAGACTGCCACACCCTGGCTGGGCCTGGCTGTCACTGCCCCAGCAGAGGTCCCCTGGCAACACTCGCACCTGCCTGCTCAACTGCCACCCCTGGCTCTCTCAGGAGCAGGGCACAGCAGATGCTGCTGGTGACTGGAAGAAGCTGTGCTGTCACAGTGTTTGGAGCCAGTAGCATCACGCTGCTTCTCAGGCCTGCAGTGCACCTTAGAGCTGTGCCTGCCATGCAGCACCTCTGCCACCGGGGAACACAGGATAGGATACAGTTCAGGACCACAAGGGTGGTGACGCTGTCACAGAGCCTCGTCTGCCCCCTGGTAAAGTGAGACTGGGAGCCAGCCTCCCATACACGTACTGCACTGTCTGGGGCCTTGCACCACAGAAGTGCTCGCAGGAGAGGCCCCAGCAGGCACCTGCCCAGGAAGAGCTGTGCCAGGCAGGACCTGGGCTAAGAGAGAGGCAGCTCTGCCACCACACAGTGTCGCCTGCCAAGTAGCAGGCAGCAACCTGGTTACAGCTCCGGGTGCCGCAGCAATCTCAGCCAGCAGGCACCTAGCACCTGGACAGCACCCTCAGTCCCCCTTCCCTTTACAGGGCCATTCCCTTGACCTGTGTCACCCAACCTGTGCATGGAGACCACAGGTATCATCTCCCAGCAACACCCATGGGACACCTGCCCTCCCACCTCACTCCCCCATTTCCTTTCTAGTATTGACCATCACAGATCACCCAAGCCATCCAAGCCCCAACAGGAAACAGCCCAGGCTGTGCAGTCAGGTGCTCTGGCTGGGTTACTTCCTCAGGTGGTCAGGGGACACTTCCCCAAACAGGTGAGTGACACGGTCCTGGGAAGATATGCTTGCCCTCCTTCCTCCCTCCACGCCCCAACCTGGCAGGGCACCACATGCACAGGCACCATGCACGCAGGACTCCACCCTAAACCGGCCCTGCCTGGACAGAAGCCACCACAGCTCCCAGGAGCCGCAGACAAAATGCCATAGCAGGGCGAGCTCCTTTCAACACCTGTCCTCACTGGAATTCACGAAAGCGCTTTTGCAATTAAAATGCTACAATAAGCCAAGCACAGCAGTGCATGCCTGTAAACCCGCACCTTGTGAGGCTGAGACAGGAGGATGGCAAGTTTTGGTCTCATCTGGGTAACATAGCAAGATGGTCCCAAATTGTTTCAAAAGGGCTGGGGATGTGGCACTGTGACAGAGGGCACCTGAGTTCAATACCTAGTACCAAAAGTAAACAAATAAGTACCCCATCCACAGTGCTGAGAAACAGAAAAGGAAAACTGCCTGCTGGCTGACAGAATTGGGAACACGAGGTTTTGTAAACAACCAATACACTTCCCGGTCACCCGAGGGCTTCAAGTAGCCTTGGCTCCGGGAACAACAGCTGGAGTTGCCCTCCCAGGGGGCCCGTCCTGGGTGGGTAAAGGATCACTGTTGTCCATGGCTGGGGTCTGGAATGGACATGCTCAACCAGTCTGCTGCCACATTCCGCCTTATTCGAGGAAGAGCCAGCTTAGCAGGGGGATGTAACCCACACTCGAAATTAAAAATAGCAGCGTGATGGCACAAGGTGGCCACGGGCAGGCTTTCCTGGCTGGCGGGGAGGGGGCGGTGAAGGATGGGGGGTCCTGGTCCCCTTGCAGGAGCCCAGCAAATGGCCAGGTACCAAGTTAACCTCACTGATGCCATAGGCGTGCTTACTTGCCCTGTTTCTGGGAAGCCGCCTTCCAGCAGGATAAGTCACCATGGCCCAGGGGAAACAACTCCAGCCTGGACTTCCACCAGGAAGAGAAGCTCAGCTTGGTCACCGCCACACAAACACACACACACACACACACACACACACACACACACACGCCCCCCCCCCCCAACATCACTGTCGCCTGCTCCTCCTCACCTGCAGGGGCGCCTTAGCCTCAGTGTGGGGAATCTCTGACAAGGTGAGAACTAGTTCTTCCAAAAAAGAAGAAATTCCCCGTTCTACCAAGGGGAGCGCTGAGCCAGTGGGAGGAAGAGGAAGCTGCGCAAGGCAAAGGGCAGACGCTGGAGGGGTGGGCTCCAGCTACTCCAGGGAACACAAATCAGGAGCAATTCCCGGCTGAGCTAATGGTGCTGAACAAGTCCAGGGCAGGAAGAAAGCTGCATTCCTTCCGAGTTACTCTGCTCACCCACCCGAGGCCCCCCCACGGCCAGCGCACGCTCGCACGCAGGCACGCAAAGGGCCTGCCTGAGCTGCCTTCCGATCACGGAGCCCCACTTTCCAGGAAAGGTGGCACAGTACTCCCCAACCACTTCCCCTCGGGTCCTGACCGCAGGCCATCAAGCAACTTCTGTCCCCCTCTCGGGCAGAGTCGGCCGGTTCCATGACACAACCAGAAATGGGAAGACGCGGGTCTTCTAGCTGCGGCGCCAGATGTGCCCGAAAGTCAGGCCCCAAGGGATCCACGCCAACCGCGCCCCTCTCCCCAGCCAGGTGAACAGAACGGAAAGGTCTCAGAGCTCCCGGGATGGGCCAAAGCGGCCCCGAGGGTGTGAGCTGGGCTCAGCCGTGGACGCCCAGACTGAGAAAGGTATCGCGGCCAGGGACGCCCCCAACACACGCGCCTTGGGGAAGCGTTACGGACTGCTCCCGTCAAACGCTGCCTCTCCTCAGAGATGACCGGGGGGGGGGGGGCAGCTGTCAGTTTCTGCCCAATCCACCCCTTCCAAGTGTCCACAGTGGACCCAAACCGAGGGGTCTCCAGGAAAGCCGCACACATCCGGCGCACACCCAGATTTCCGGGTCCTCAGGTACCCCAACAACAGTCCCCCACCCTGAGGGGTCCAGGACATTAGAGCAGCTTCCCAAAATACGGACGCTGCCATCCCACCTTCCCATCCGGGCGCCCCCACTGGCACCGACCCAGCGCGCCGCTGTCCCCGCCCAGCCCCGCCAGGTGCGCACGGACCCTACCCAGGTACCAGGCCAGACAGCACAGCCCGGAGCCCCTAGAAGAACCTCGGACCCCAGCGCCCGAGGGTCGGCGCCCGCCCCTGTCGCCCCGGTTCCATGAGGGCCGAGGTCGCCGCGCTCGGGACCCGCGCTCACGCCGCGCCCGCGAGCCCCGACCTCCCAGCGGCCCCTGGCCCCGCGCTCTCCGGCCAGGCGCGAGAGGCCGGCCCACGGCCCCCGCCATCCGCACCCGCCGCATAGGACTTCGCGCCGCTCACCTGGCTGGCGCGATAGCTCTCGAAGGCCTTCAGGGCGCTGTCTGTGAGCTTCACGTGGAATACAGACACCTTGCTGCCGTCGCTCACTCGCCCGCACGATAGCCCGTAGCTCCTAGCCTCCTTCAGTGCCGCCATCTTGCGACCATCGCTCCTCCGCCCCCCCTCCCTGCTCTAGCACCGGCGCGCCCGCCACGCCACGCCCCACCACTCGCCGACGCGCTGCATTATTCATGAGGTGCGGTTGGCCACGCCCCATGATCCCACCGAGCCAACAGTCACTGCCCTACGGCGCGCCGACGTGCTGCATTATTCATGACACACAGATAGATGATCATGCCCCTGGCGTGCCCGACAGCCCCACAGTCTCCGCCCCCACCTACTGTATATTCATAATTCACAGATGGCCCCACCCCTTCAGTCCTTAGAGGTAGCCACTTCCGCGCTGTAACCCCGCCTTCCCACGCGCACCCCCTCCAGGCCCCGCCTCCACATAGTATTCATAAGCCTGACTGGACACCGTGTCGAAACCCCGCCCAACGAGCCGTGACGTATGTGTTATTTATGCGCTCTTTGGGGCCTTCTGTCTTTGGTTTGGGTAGAAAGCCACGGAGAGGGCGCATGGTAGGCGGGACTCGAGGTTGGCCTGACGGCTGGGCGTGGCCTCGGAAAGGAGGCGCGCATTGGACGCTGGGTTGGGCCGATGTGGCTTCCCTTAAGGTGGGAGGCTGGCATTCCCGGCGGTGGGGCTGAGGGAAAGGTGGGAAGATCCGGGAAACTTCCTAGGACCAGAGACTTCCCGGAGGCCGAAACCCAGTCCCCACAGGCCTCACCCATGGTGGACTCACAGCGCCATTCCCAAAACACAGCTTCGCTGGGGTTTTTTTTTTGTAGTGTTGTTTTGCTGCTGGGGATGGAACTGGGGGCCTTTAACTTTGTTTTGTTTGTATGTTTTTGGGTTTTGTCTGCTTACTAACCTAGCGCTTTGACACTGAGCTGTACATAACCAGCCTTTTGTTTTTCTTTTTGAGATAGCCTTTTGCTAAGTAGTGGAGGCTGGCCTTGAACTCCCCGTGACCCTCCTGTCTCAGCTTGTGGAATGCTGGGATTACAGGCATGCAGCACCACACCTGGCTTATCTTTCCATTTGAGATAGGGTCTCCGTAAGTCAGTAAATGGACAGGCTGGGCTCCAATTTGCAATCTTCCCACCTCCGCTTCCCATAGAGCTGGAATTACAGGCGTGCACCACCACACAAGGCCAGAGTGTTTTATTTATTCATTTTCCCTCTGACACTACAGTTTAATGGCCTTTACTATATTCACAAAGTCATTACTGCACCTCTCCCAGCCCAACTATCCCATCTCCTAGCACCTAGCTGCCAATAGTCTGCTCTTTATCTTTGGATTCACCTTTCATCTCATATCATTTTTATCTTCAAGGTTCCTTATCCTCATAATATATATCAGTACCTTGTTTTGTGGGGAGGTTTTAATCCTCCCTTGGTTTTTTTGAATTAGGTCTCACCATACGTAGTTCAGGCTGGCTTCCAACAATAATCTGCTTCAACCTCTCAAGTGCTAGGATTACAGGTTATGTACCACCATGCCAGGCTCCTCTTCCCTTTTTCATGACAGAACAATATTCCACCTTGTGGACGTATGTATGAGTCACATTTTGTTTATTCACTCACCTATTAAGAGACATCTGAGTTGCCTCTGCTTTCTCACCCTCCTTAGTGGCACCTGGGAATATTCATGCACATGGCATTCTGTGGTTTACAGTGCTGTTGACAGAGGCCAGGGCCTGGTGCATGTTTAGTAAACTCTCTCCCTCTGGGCCACACCCCAGCGCACGGGAACAGATTTTTCTCCTTTGGGTTCTAAATCCGGGCACAGAACTGCAGAGTCACAGACCAGGCTGACCATCAGGGAGGTGGCTAGACTACATCCCACAGGACCACCTGGTTTTACCCATATCTCTGTCACTAGCCCATAGGAAGTCAGAGCTGGGGTCAGCCTGAGCCTCCCCGTGCCACTGAGCAGGGACTTCTGGGACCCTGCCATCCCAGCTGCTGGAAACCTGGGTCCTCCTCCCCATCTGTGTAACCTAGACCAGGGCAGCCGTCAGTATGGCTGCTGCCCTGATGCAGCTCGGGGCCCGGCATCCTCTCAGGGTAACCGAGATGCACATTGGGGAAGACAGGGTTGGGGCAGTGAGGCTGCAACTCGGACCTCCCCGACCCAGTGCACTCCTCCTGTACTCTGCCCTGCCCTTGGGCCCCTGGGTTCCAGGTTTGGCACTCCACCGGCCACAGGCTGAAGTGTTGAGCAAAGCACCATGGCTCTAGCCCTAACCAGGAACATTTTTCCCTAACAGAGAAACCCATGCTCGTCCAACATTAGCTGTTACACACCATTAGACAACAGCAAGGCCTTGGCATAGGGTGAGGCTGCTGCTCAGTGGCAGGATACTGCTTAGCACCCCCAGACCCTGGATTCCATCCCCAGCAGCAAACAGGCCCACATGGTGGTGCACAACTACAGTGCGGTTAGTTGGGAGGCTGAGGTAGGAGGATCCCTTGGATTCAGGAGGCTGAGGCAGGAAGATCCCGTGGGTTCAGGAGGCTGAAACCAACCTGGGAAACATACCATCTTGTCCTCCCCCACAATAAAATTAAAAAAATATATAGATGTGGTAGAGCACACTGTAATCTTGGCACTCTGGAAGGCTGAGGCAGGAGGATCACAAGTTTAAGGTCAGCTCCAGCAGTTTAGCATCTTAAGAGTATGCTGAGTGCATAAAGGGAACTGGCCATTTGGTACTGCCTCCTGGGCCCAGAGCCGAATCCTACTGATCTGCTGTGCAGGTAATAACCCCCACTGTCACTGCCCAGGTGGGGGCACTAGACCTTGGCTAGGATGCTGGCCCACAGCCCATGCTCTGACCTCTCACCACCCAACCAGCTGAGCCAAGTAAACAGCAGACCAGCACCACCCCTGTGCCAAGCTGGGGATGCTGTTTAAGAGGCCAAGGCAACAGGAGTTTGATGCCAGCCTAGGCAACCCAGCAGACTCCACCTCAAGTGGCAGTAACATGCCACCTTGCCTGGTACAGTATCACACGCCTCATCCCAGCACCTGGGAGGCTGAGGCAGGGGGATCGCTGTGAGTTTGAGGCCAGTCTGCACTACAGTGAGTGCATCTTAAACACACCCAGTCACTCCACTGTTTCTGGTTTTGTGGGGCTGGGGAACAAAGCCCAAGGCTTCACTTAGCACTACGTACACAGCCCCTTTTAATTTTTTGAGGCCAGGACTCGCCAAGTCGCTAAGTTAGTTGCCCATGCTAGGCTCACAGTTTCAGTCCTCCCACCTCAGGCTCGAATGGCTGCTGGGATGGCAGGTGTGGTCACCTTGCCCATATAAGTATGCCCACCCTCAGGGGCTGAAGCAGGACAGGGAGGGGAAGGCCAGCCTGGACAACGGGGCCACAGCCTGCCTCAGATGCCACCAAGCTAGATGTGCACTGGGCAGAAATGGGCCTGGCTGATAGCACTACCCTGCACAGCCTGGGGACTGTCACACCAGAGGAGGCGGGGGGTCCCGGTGACCAGGAAGACCCTTTCTCTTCCAGCCTGGAGATAGGCTGGTTGCACAGCCCTGAGTGGTGAGGCGGCTGGGATGAGGTACCCCTGTACCCAAGGTCTCGGGGAAGGCTCGGGGACTGGCTCCAGCCATCTGGTAGTGACAGGGAGATACCCCAACTCCCTTAAAGGTCTCAGGGACCCCAGGTCCACCTTGGACCACCATGTGGCTGAGGCCCAGGGCTCCTGCACTGTCATCAGTGCTCAGGCAGCTCATGGTCACCAAGGTCTCAAAAACATGGCACGCCTGGGGGCCTTCCCTGGCCCCTGGCCATGTCCTATAAGCCTACCTAAAGGTTCACAGTCCTCCCAATGTCCCGGCTCTCTTCCCTCTTGCAGGTGGAGTTAAAACCATGTACAGGGCTCACTCGGCCACGTGGGAGGCAGAACCCATGTGCCAGTGCTGAGTAACCCAGCCGACCCAGGCAACAAGAAGGAAGCTCAGCAGTGCAGGTGGGAGGCTTTATTTCATTGTGGGGGGCTGGATGGGGAAACAGGCGGGTGAAAGGGCAAGGTGCTGGGGGAACTGGGGGACCGCCCCCCAGTTGCAGAGGAGAAACTGAGGGCTGACCCTGTGAACAGGGTGGGGGCAGGGAGCTGGTCTAAAGGAGCAGGGGAGCCCCCCACTGGCTCCCTCCTTCCGGGCCGCACCTCACCACCCTCCCAGGACCTCATCCCACTCGCCAGGCCTCGAGATCCCATCCTTGCTGCCCTGGCCTGGAGGAGGAGCTGGGCCAGGGCAGGCAGCAGGCAGGGAGCCTAGGGGATGCAGGACAGGGTGGGGTTCATGGTATGCTGAGGTGGTAGTGGACACCTGGGTGATCAGTTCCTGGCAGCGATGACCACAGAGAGTGCCACACCCCCCAGAGCAACAGCAGTTGCCCCAAACAGCCACTTCCATGGGATAGACTGTGGACAGAGGGACAGAGGGACGCTCAGAAGGCTCGAGAGGATGCAGACAAGTTTCTGAGAACTCTCTTCCCAATGAAATCCAAACCAGCATTGCCTGGCCATCTTTTTCCATCTACCAAACTCCTACATGTACATCAAAACCTTATCCAAACGTCTCCCCACATCCCCAGCTCACCCAGGCACCCTTGCTGGGACACTTGGTGGGCAGCCGGCTGGGGTTGCCCAGCATCTTCCGGTACAAGGCGGTCTCTGTACTCCGCTGAGCCGCATGCTTCTTCACCAGCTTCGAGAGCTCAGCGTGGATGGTCTGTGGGGGAACTGAGGCAGTGATGCAGCCCCAGCTGGGGTGGCAGGACACCCAGGGTCCCACCGTGCCCCGCCCCCAGGAGCCACCAACAGGGCAGGGCCGTGATGCCCACGCAGGCGCAGAGCAGACGCTCACCTTGTTGGAGGGCTCCAGCTTCAGTGCTGCCCGCAGGATGGGGATGGCCTCACTGTACTCGCCTTGCTGCGCCAGCACCTGTGCAGGGAGGGTGCGTGGCTGTGGAACCCTGTGGGCCTGGCCCACCGGAGGTGGGGCGCCCAGGGTGGGAAGGTAAGAGCCCGCAGCTTCTTCCTGGGGGCCTGGCAGTGGGGAACAAGCGGCTCGGTCACCCCAAGAGCAGAGGGCCCGAGAGGGAGCCTGAGCACACAAGACATTCCCAGAACACTGCGCCCAGATCCAGTCACTCCAGCCAGGTGTCCATAGACTGGCGGCTGCACAGACCAACGACCGCTCCTTTCCACTGCCACCTGTTTGTTTCTGTCACATTCAACCAGCAGGTGTCCCACGGCTCCTACAGCTACCAGACTCATCAATCCCTGGAATCCTGTGATTCTCTGCACACACAGGCACCTGATACGGGGAGGCTGAGGGAGCCCCTCTTGGGCCTCTCACAGTATCTGTGCCTCAGTGTCTTTGGCTAGGATTAAAGGCCTGTGAGAACTGCAGGTGCTGCTCAGGGTGAGCACTTTCCCAGTGTCTTTGAGGCCATGGGCTGTAGCCCCAGAAAGGAGACAAGACAGAAGCCCGGAACTGGACCAGGCATCCAGGAGTGCACAACTGGACAGAGGTGTGGCCATGTAAAGGCCCTGGGGCAGGAGCTGGCTCAGAAGCAAACAGGACGGGGCTAGCTGGGACGTAAAGTGGCAAGCAGCTGGGGAAGGTCTCGCGGCTAGTAAGAGATGGGGCAGCAGCCACCCCACCTTGCCCTTGCGGAAGAGCGCCTTGATGTTGTCCGGCTGGTGCTCCAGCACCAGGCTGCAGGAGCGCAGGGCGGCACGGTAGTGGTCCAGTTTGAGCTGTGAGGCTGCCAGGTTGTTCAAACACTTGACCTTCAGCTGCAGCAGCTGCTCCTCCTCCTCGAACGTCATGTCCACTGCAGGACACAGCGGTCAGCAGGGTCACCAATGCCACCTTGCCTGCCCTACCCCACCCAGGACCCTCCCGCCTTCCCCACTGGCCTGGGAGATGCTGGCTCAGCTACAGGCCCAAGGGAGGCCAGGGCGCCCGCCAGTCACCTTTGGCGCTGGAGGTGATGGCCTTGATGGCCAGGTCGTAGGAGTTGGCAGCCAGCACGAAGTCCGCACGCTGGTAGTGGGCATTGCCACATTCGCGCTTCCGGTTGGCCAGCGCCACACGCTCCTGGCCCGTGAGTAGTTCCAGGTCAGGCCCATCCACCGCGGTCTTCAGGGTTACCTCCAAACACAGCGCTGCGTGTGGGGGGATGTAGGGGCTCCTGCTGGGGGGGTGGGGGGGGGCCACTTAGGGCCAGGGGTCCTAGACCCACAGCCGGTGCCCTGGGCTGCAAGATTCAGCAAGCAGCTTCCTTCCCTAGGCCTCAGTTTACTCTCCTGTGCATGGGAGCACAGAGAGGATGAGGAAGGGACCTCGGGGAGAGGACGGGAGCCCATGTGGCGCTCACCTGCCTTGGGGGCCATAGCAGTACTTGGAGTCAGCAGTGACCATGGCCGTCTCACCCACATCCATGAGGGGCACGCTGAGGTCCAAAGCCTGGGCCAGGGCCAGCAGGGAGGGTCAGGCGTGCCAAGTCCTCAGAGACCACCCCACCCACCACTGCCCATCCCCCTACCCTGTGCCCCACCTGGATAACATCGCAGTCGCCCAGGGTGAAGGTCAGCTCCGGCTCCTCCTGCACCCGCGTGCCATTCTCCAGTGACATCTGCAGCTGCACTGTCACCACCTGGCCCTTGGTCGGGCGGCTTGAGCCAGGGGGACCTGGGACCAGCGTCTTCTTCCTCAACAGACCATTTCCTGCCAGAGTCCAGGGTGGGGACAGCGAAGTCAGTAGGTGGCTGGGAAAGGGGGACAGGGTACTCCCTGGCTTGGGACCCAAGCTGAGCTTCCAGCAGATGCCAGCTGCAGATGGTACAGGAGACTCGTGCAGATTTGTGTATGTTCATCTGGGTGTGGGCTCGTCTACACACGTATGTGCATGCATGTGCAGAGCTTGGGATGAACCCAGGGCTTGTGCACGCTTGGCAAGCATTCACTACAGAGCCGCAACCAGCCAGATGGGGCAGATTTGGGGCGATGACACTGGCACTGAACCATGGCTACTCTGGGTGTTATCTTATGAAAACTAAAATACAGGTGTGGTAGTCACACCTGCGATCCCTATGCTCTGGAACGCCGAGGCAGGAGCATCACAAGTTCCAGCTCAGCCTAGAGAGTTTTAAAAAAAAAAAAAAAAAGAAAGAAAAGAAAAAAAGGAAAATTAAAAATAGGCTGGGATGGGGTCAGGGATTTAGCTTAACAGCGCAAGTGCTTGCCTGACAAGTGCGAGGTTATGAGTTCAATTCCTGGTACCAAAAAAATAGATAAAATAAATAAAACAAACACAGGCCAGGAATGTAGCTTTGTGTGAAAGCTCTGGTTTCAGTTCCCAACATCACAAAAAATACATAGCAAAACTTCTTCCAGATCAGCTGTCAACCCTGGGCCTCAGTTTACCCAGGCATGAAATATGGTAATCACATGGCCTACCCGTGGCATACGCAGCCTTTGCTGGATTCACAGAGCATGATACCTTGAATTTTACTGGGAACTGAGCACGGCTCTGAGCCAGGCTGTCCCAGCAACTTGCAATCTACAAGGGATGACACCATCCTCACACAGCCACTAAACGGGTGCCCTCTGTACCGGACAAGAAGGACTGGTTATGGCCCCACAATGGCCTCAGGGGCTAACGTGACTGCCCAGAAACCATGCACAGAAACCATGCACAGAGCAGGCAGGTGACTGGCCTCAGGGCAGACAGCCCACACCGTCCTCAAGGGTCTCCCTAGGCTGCAGCAGGACAGAGCTTGGGAGCTCAACGGAGTGACAGGGCCTGTCGTCACCAACGTCCCAACATGTCCCTGCTCTGTCACATTCCACTGGTCTGAAATGTTTCACAAGAATGAGCTGACCCTGATTTAAAGCTTAGACACCCATGGAGGCAGCCAACCTTATTCTAGAACATTCTAGCACATTCTAGGAGACTCTGGAATATTCCACATTTTATACTGTTCCCCACCTTGGACAAGGCCAGCATCCAGTCTGAGAACCACCAGGGAGCCAGCAGGTCCTTGGGCCTTAAGTCCCTGGACACTAACAATGGCCTCATAGCCCACATGTGGCCCACGAAAACAGCTGCTAAGTCTCCCACCAGCCAGGGGGGCTGTGTGGCCTTGGGCAGGTACCAGGCCTCTCTGAGTCTGTGGTGCTTTGTACCACAAGGTAGGCACTGCCTTGTGGTTATTAGAAAAATAAAACAAGATACTGCATAAACCTAGTGCAGAATTAGCGCTTTAGAAACGTAACCTGGTGCTTTTATTTATTTATTTTTTTGTCTTTTTGAGACAAGGTCTCTCTATGCAGTTCAGCCTGGCCTTGAACTCACTTTGCAGTCCAGACTGGTCTGGAACTCCCAAGGATCATCCTGCCTCAGCCTCTCCTGCCTCAGCCTCTCAAGTGCTGGGATTACAGGCATGAGCCACTACACCCGGCTCACCTGGTGCTTTTTTTTTTTTCTGTTTTCGTTTTCATCGATACCAGGGATCGAACTCTCAACCACATACTTGAAAGGCAGGTGCTTATGCCGCTGAGCTAAATCCCCAGCCCCCACCTGGTGCTATTTTAAGAGCAACATTTTTCATTGTTAGTACCTTTTTGTATGATAATGAGGTTAAACTCAGAGCTTTCACCCTGAGCTACAACTACAACTTTTTTTTTTTTCTTTTTGGTACTAGGGATCAAACTCAGGACTGCACACTTGCAAGGCAGGTGCCTTAAATCCCCAGTCCCTACTCCAACTTTTTTACTTTATTTTTTCTAACTTTTCTAAGCAGGGTTTGGCTGATTGCCCAGTCTGACCTTCCACTTTTCATCCTCCTGCTTCATCCTCCCCAGGAACTGGGATCACAGGTCTGCATCACATCCTGAGAGTTTTACCTTCTCTCTCTCTTTTTTTTTTTTTTTTTTTTTTTTTTGGGGGGGGGGTACCGGGATCGAACTCACAACCTTGTGCTTACCAGGCAAGCGCTTGAGCCACTGAGCTAAATCCCCAGTCTCTTCTCTGCACATTTAGAACACCAGGGGCTGGGGTGCAGCTCAGAGGCAGAGGGCTCACCTAGCACAGCATTAGGTCTGTCCCCCAGCACTGCCTCAATCCCTGAAACTAACAGTGATCACTGATGACAGTTTATACTTAAACAGCTACTCCAGAACAGTCAAGTGCAGGGAACCAGCCAAAGGGAGACACAGCATGGGATCTCAGGCTGGCTATGTTGTGTCTGGTGGGTGACTCAGCCTCTCTGGGTGAGCATGTGTGCATGTGAATGGAGCTGGATGTCCGGTCAGTGGTCAAGATGGTAACTGACTTCAATCCAAACAGCCCAGATGGGAAACACATCCAAGGAACAGAGGGTCTGGCCAAGGTCACCCCTGGACCGGGGCATCCAGCTCTGCAGCACCCCCCAGGGACCCCTTTCTCCTCACCACAGCTTACCCAGAATGTCCAGCCACTCTTCTGGGGCCAGGTCCTGTGCGGGCTCGGGCTCTGAGGACACCAGGAACTCTCGGGCCAGTGCCCCTGGCTGCTCAGTCTTCTCTGTGGGGGTCTGCCCCATGTCTTCAAGTGGTGGCAGCTCACTCAGGTCATCATCGTCCTCTTCCTCCTCCTCCTCCTCAGCATCCGCATCCTCAACCCCATCCAGCACCTCAAAGTCCTCAAGCGGGGGAACCCCAGCAGGTGACAAGGCAGGGGGCTCGGAGGGCTCCTCTGCACAGGATGCCATGCTGCTGGGGGATGGGAACTGGCCCTGGGGGACAGACGGGGGTGAGCATCCCCTGTGGCCCTCAAGTCCCCTCTGCAGGCATCCCCTGTGTTGCTGATGTAATCTGGAACAGTGGGCCTTGGTTTCCTTATCTGTACAATGGGCCTCACCATGAGCCTGGGTGTTGAAAGAAATTAACCCCCAAGCATCAAGCTCAGCTGACATTAGCTATTATTAGAGCTAATTATTATTTAATCATTCAGACATTGGGGGGGGGAGGAACCTTTCCCATATGGAAAAAAGAAAATCCAGACTCAGAGAGGCAGCACCATTTGCCCAAGGTCACAGAGCACGCCAGAAAAATAAATTAAAAAAATAAAAAAGGGGCAGATTTGAAACCGGGTTCCAGATCTTGACGGTTCATCTGCTTAAAAAAACAAAAAAAGGCTGCGAGGGGGGGGCAGCCCCTGAGGCCCCGGGAAGCCATTTTCACAGCATCTGGGCTACCTGGGGTGCTGGGTCTCACGGGCCCTTCCGTGTCTGGCCTCCCAAAGCGATCTCCTCCCAGGAGCCCCAGGCACCCAGGTAACCTAAGCCCACAACCTTCCATGCTCAGGGCCTCTTTCTTGCCCCAGGCCTGCAGTCCGCGGCTTTCCTCCACAAACCAGACCCAGAACTCAAGGGGGCCACGGCCTGCATCCCGGTCCCGCAGCGCTCCTCCTGTGCCAGCCTCACCTTCGGACTCCTTCCGGGATCCCACCCCCACAATCCCCTGCGCCGCGCTCCACAGCCCCGCGCCCCCACTCGGGCCGTCGCCACCGACCCCGCTAGCGCCCCGCGATCACCCTCTTTCCCGCCGCCGCCCCGCACATCCCGTCACCCCGCCGCCCCCGCCTGGGCCCGGCGACCCCCACCCTGGCCCACGGCGGCGCCCGGCACGCGTCTGACGCCACCAACACAGGCCCGGACCCCGCACTCGGGGGCGCACCCGGCCCCGCGCCGCCCGGCTAACGACCCCCGCCGGGTCAACGCCTGCGCTCCTCTGCCCGCCGCAGCGCCCCGGGCCCTCCGCCCCGCCCAACGCCCCCGCCCCCACCACGCCAGCCCAGAGCCACCCAGGTCTGGGGCGCCCCGGCCGCGCGCCCCGCCGGCGCCCCGGTACACGTGCCTTGGCTCCGGGACCCCCGCCTGGGGTCCTGCGCCCCCTCCCCGCCCCCAGCCGCGGCCGCCGCGTCTCGGGAACCAGCTTCGGCCGCGAGGCCCCGCCCCCGCCGCGCCTATTGGCCGTGATCGCTGTGACGGTCACACCCATTGGGTCTCACGAACGTCCGTCTTGTGCGCGGGCACCTCCCCCTTCCTGCTTCGCTGTGCGGGGTTTTCTTAAAGGGACTGAAGCTTAAAGAACACTAGAAGCCAGAGGATGGCGGGTGCTGAGCTGGGTTAGGAAAGCGAAGTTCGCTGCACCGCCAGTTAGAGTCCCTGCCGCTGCGGGGTGCGCCTCATCATGTTCATCAGAGAAATGGGGGTATGTACTGTTCAGAGTGCACTCGTCACTGGGGGTCCCATGGGAGGACCGTGCTGCAGATAGGGGACCTGGCCGTTCCTGTACGACCTTTGACCCACTATGAACTTCCCAAAGATGTGGCCCGAGGCAGCTTTTCCCTCCCACTTTCTCTGTTCCGGGAATGTTATCTGGTGCATACAGCAGGCGCTCAATAACAGCTGCCAGGGCCGCAGCATGATAAGGTGCCAGGCCAAGAGGCGACAGCCGGGCCTGTCTAGGGCACCTTTTGAAACAATGTATTCGCTTCTCACCTGCGCAGGGTCCTTTCTTCCCAGCCCTCCTGCTCCCGTACCCCGCCTCCGAGTTTTACTTTACTTATTTATTTTTTTGTACCGGGGATTTAACTCAGGACCTCGCATTTGCCAAGGAGGTGCTTACATCGCTCAGCCTATCTGCTCCGAGCTCCCTGAGCTCCCTTGTCCATGCGCCTGCACTTGTTTCAGGGTGGCCTGAGGGATGGCAGTAAACAACTAATGGATAGTAAACAGCAAACTACAATACCAAATATAAACATCTCTGCCTAGAATGAAGGCTGGGGTGCACCTGGATTACAGAGCCTCCACTGTCCTATGGAAGATCTGGTTCCATCCTGCATTTGATAAAAAGAGTAAATAAAATAACATCAGTGGCAGCCAGGCGGGGGAGGGGGGGACGATCACTGAGTTCCAGACCACCCTGTCACCCTGTCTCAAAATAAAAAAGGCCGGCCGGGTGTGGTGGCACCTGTCTGTCATCCCAACACTGGGGAGGCTGAAGCAAGAGAATCACAAGCTCAAGGCCAGCCTGAACCATATAGTTGAAACTCTGTCTCAAAAAAATACTAAAGAAAAAATGTATACTCTAGTGTCAGACCTTCATGAACTCACAAATAAGCAGGTCAACATGTAGGGATGGTTGGCCTCCCTCGGGAGACAAATCCTCTGCCATTTGGGGGCCACAGCACTGGCCACATGCAGCCTTCTGAGATGAGCTGTGCCCTTAGGACGTGCCTGTCTTTCTCTGGCCTTTTCACATGGACTTAATTTTTTTTTTTTTTAAACTGGTACCAGGATCGAACTGAGGACCACCCACTTGCAAGGCAGGTGCTTATGCCGCTGAGCTAAATCCCCAGCCCCTCTTAATTTTTTAAGTTTTCCATTCTTCACAGTTTTATCTTCCATCTTTCTGTATTTTTGTACACATTTGTCTTTCAGAAACTATATAGAATGTTTGCTGTATTCTGCTCTCTTTACCTTTTTTTTTTTTTTTTTTTTGTCTTTTTCGTTTTTTTATCAGTACCAGGAATTGAACTCACAACTGCATACTTGCAAGGCAGGTGCTTATGCTGCTGAGCTAAATCCCCAGCCTCTGTCTTTGCCTTTTGACTGTGGTATTTGTTCTATTTTTATGTTGAGACAGGGTCTTTCTAAGTCTCTGAATTGCCCAGACTGGATTCACATCCTCCTGCCTCAGCTTCCGCATGTGCTGGGATTACAGGTGTACATGACTGGGCCTGGCTTTCTTCTTGCTTTCTTTTGGATCAGGGTGATAAAGTTTAAATCTGTGCATTTGTGAGGGGTTGCTCGGGCACAACCCAGGCCATAAGCACCCTAGGCAGGCCTCCAAGGGATCCTCCTGCCTCAGCCTCTGGAGCGCCTGAACTACAAGCTGCCACTATCAAGCGCTAAGAACATGGAATTGCAGAGAGATGAAATGGTTCAAGCTCACAGTGTTGAAGGCAAAGATGGTCCCTCTGCCACGGAGCTTCTCCTCCAGCTAGGGAGATGGAGTTTGAACCTACAGTGAGGCAAATAAGCACTGACCCCAGAGTGGATCCAGCCCCGAAAGAACCAATCCAAAAGGGGCAGGAAGCCGGACATGTGCAGAGCTGCACTCTGGGAGGCTGAGGCTAGAGGGTTCAGAATTTGAACTCAGCTTAGACAACTTGGGGAGACCTTGTCTCTAAATAACAACTAGAAAAGGTTGAGGTACTGATCCGTGCTGAGGCCCACGCAGCGAGGGCAGGTAAGGCCACCCGTAGGGCCTGAGATCCCCGGCCCAGGAAAGACCTCCTGTTCCTGTGCCTTTCTGCCTTCTGCCCTGAACACGAAGAAAAATCCCATTCTCCGCAGCCTGCTGGGCACAAAGCATTCATGGCAGCCGGGTCCTTCTGCGCCCCATTCCAGGCCTGGATTTCTGCCTCCAGCAGTGTGCAAGGAGCCAGGGTGATCGGAGAGTCCCCGAGCCCCACACGGCAGCCTCCACCCCAGCCCTCGCTCCCCATTCCTGCCATAGTCAAGGCCACACTGAGTGCTTTCATCATCGTTCCTGCACTCCTGGCTTTCTCCCAGCCCTGAGAGATTGAATCCACCTAACAAAGTCCTAATCCTACGCAAAACCCTACTCGGATATACTGGTTCCTTGCAGTCTTCATTACCCACAACATGAACCCTGTCACAAAGGCATTCTGTGGGTTCCTCCGGCCTTGATTTCCTTCCCCTGTCTGCCAAGTACCCATGGTCTGAAGCTCCCCTCACCTGTCTTTTTCAGTCCTGGTGATGTAACTCAGATGCCATCACTAAAGTATACTTCCAGCTCTTTTTATTTTTTTTGTACCCAGAATCAAACTGACGACCTTGCACTTGCCAGGAAAGTGCTTATGTCACTGAGCTAAATCCCCAGCCCTATTTTTTGGTTTTGAAACAGGGTCTCGGGCTGGGGATTTAGCTCAGCGACATAAGCACCTGCCTTGCAAGCAGGCGGTTGTGAGTTCGATCCCTGGTACCGATAAAAATGAAAAAGACAAAAAAAAAAAAAAAAAAAAGAAAAGAAAAGAAACAGGGTCTCATTATGTGGCCCAGGCTGGCCTTGAACTCATGGCCATCCCTCTACCTCAGCCTAAGTGCTGGGATGACTGGCTTGCACCACCACTCCCAGCCCAGCTTTCTTATTTCTGAGTCTAAAGGAAGAGGGGACGCATTGAGGGGTTAAGAAACCCCTCAAGGTCCCAAGGTCCCCAGCAGCACCACCAAGCTAGGACACAAGATTCCTAAGCACCTACAGCCTGTGGTAGTGTCAGACTCTGAGCAGGGGCCTGGGGAATTGACACACAGGAAAGATGGGTGTGGCTGTCACCAGCTCCAAGTGTAGAGAACAGATACAGCAGGATCAAGAGTCTGAGGGGATGTGGTAGCACACACCTGTCATCCTAGTACTCAGGAAGCTGAGGCAGAAGGATCTTTGTGAGTTCAAGACCAGCCTGGGCTACAAAGTGAGCTCAAGACCCTGTCTCAAAAAGACAAAATAAAATAAAATATACCAGTAAAATCTAATTGAAAAATCTCCCTCCCCAACAAAATTAAAAGGGCTGGGAGGGAGCTCAGTGCCAGAGCCACGCCCTGCTGTTCCTTCCACTGGATGCTGTGGCCAGGGACACCCAGCACTGTCCATGCCGAGTGGCCGATGGTGGGTGACACCCTGAGCTCAGCCAGAGATGTCAACAGTCCTGTCCTTCTGTCCTCCTGGCCTGGCCCTCACCCTTGTCCTGGGCAACTGAACCTCAGCTCCCTGTCCGAGCTGGGCCAGCTCAGGTCCCCCTGACCAAGGCTCTCCGAGGTCCCCAAGCCTCAAGGGCCTCTTCACTGGGCACCCCAACTGGAAAGCCGATGCTAAGCCCTGGTTCCAGGGTCAAAAGTGACAGGAGAGGAGAAGAGGGGTTGACCAGAGCAGAAAGGACTGGTCATGCGGTTCGAGATAGGCCTGTCCTTCAAGAAGGCACGCACAGTGTGTGTGTCCTGGTGGTCACCGGCACCGTGGGAAATTGACAACAGGAGGGTCCTGGCCACCTCAGCTGTCAGGTCCCCGAGGAAGGGCTTGGACACCCGGAAGCGGCTGTGGGAAGCCATTTCCGCTCTCTACGTGCAACTCTCCCCAGTCTCTGCCAGTAGAACCCATCAAGCCCAAGTCCCCACTGATCCAGTGCGGTGCCCTGCCTGACTATAGGATTTGGAACAAATGATCTCTTTTCTCTACAAAGCGCCACCTTCGGGTCCTTTATGACCGTCACGAGATGTGGCCCAGGACAACACCGCAGCGGGCCAGAGCTGTCCCCTGCCTGCCTGAACACAGTGGTGCGTGAGTGTACCCCTGCTGGGGGCGTCCACCAAGCCCTGCTCAGGGGACTCCTGTGACCACAGCCCAGCATGCAGGAAACGGTGTGGGACAAGGAGGGGACCAGGAGAGGGCGCTGGACAGCGAAGGCTCAGGGCGACGGTGGACCCATTCCCTGGAGGGAAGTAAAGAGAGTAAAGGGTCGCAGAGGCGGATAGCTCGGGGTGGCCCACCTTGCAGCCCACAAGCCCCGACCTCACCATGAAGACCCCGCGCCAAGCCCGCGCCCTCTGGCGGTGACGGCCGTAACTGCTGGGACCTCGGGGAGAGAAGCCGCAGGTGCTTGGGCGTTAGGCCGTACCTCCGCTGCAAGAGAGACGG